CACATCACTCGCAGCCACGTCTCCGACAGCCACATCACCCACAGCCAGACTACTGTATACACCGCCACATCACTCGCAGCCATGCGCCCACAGACACATCACCCACAGCCAGACTACTGTATACATCGCCACATCACTCGCAGCCACGTCACCCACAGCCACATCACCCACAGCCAGACTACTATTTACACCGCCACATCACTCACAGCCACACTATCCACGCCAGGGATCTTGACATATTTCTTAAATCTACCGTTGAAAGATATCAGTTTATTGATTCTTTAATACATGTACACATACAGTTACTCAACTGAGCTATACTGAATGGAAAATATTAACTCGTGTTAGTTTACGAGGACACGCTCAGAGACGAGACCTTTTCCAGGGAGTCGTAGATGATTTATATATGCTAAGTAGCTTGAGGGATTATTGCGAACAGACAGAAGAGCAACTTTCTATATTGAGTCAGGATTTTCATAGTTATCTGTTATAGGATTATTTACCTTAAATTGATACAGTTTGGGTAGAGAGGCAGGTGAGGGAGGGAGGACTTACCTGTGGTAGGTGAGAGAGATAGAAACCTGGAGGTGACCAACACAGGTGTTCACGTACAACTGGACCTGCCGCTACTATGGTGACCTGAGTGGGTCGAGGTGAACGGCCCTGCACCCAGCATAACTGGTTCACGGTCACAGACGAGGGGAGGTGCATTCCTAAGTTACCTGTGTCCAAAATCATCGAAAGGAAATGAAAGATTATGTCACGGGGTTGATTTGACGAATTAGTTTCTTGAAGTCTTATTTGTTTAGCGTCACCCAGTTAGTTTTTTGTGGGTAAGTTCAGAGATTTGTGGTTAATGACGGGGGCCCTGCAAGAAGCATTGGAGGAAGTGGTGTGGGGAAGGTCACGTGACGGAATGGGTTTGTGCACCTGCCTGGCTTCACTTAACCTGGTGGAGCGACACCCAGCCACCGTGTACACCTCGCCTCTACCACATCACACCTCTACCACATCGCCCCTCTACCACACCACATCTCTGCCACACCACATCTCTACCACACCACATCTCTACCACACCACATCTCTACCACACCACATCTCTACCACACCCCTCCTCTACCACATCCCACCTTCACCACATCCCACCTTCACCACATCCCACCTCCACCACATCACACCTCTATCACACCACCACATCACTCATCCCCCATACCCAACCACCCCACCCCAATCTCTAATTCTCATCCCACCCCACCCTCACCACCACGCCCCACCCTCCACTTCACCCCTGCACCACACACCCCACCCCTGCACCACACACCCCACCCCCACCACACCCCACCCCCACCACACACCCCCACCCCGCACCACACACCTCACCCCCACCACACACCCCACCCCACCACACACCCTCACCCCCGCACCACACCCCACCCCTGCACCACACACCCCACCCCCCCACACACACCCCACCCCACCCCACCCCTGGCACCACACCCCACCCCTGCACCACACCCACCCCTGCACCCACACACCCCACCCCACCACACACCCCACCCCCACCACACACCCTGGGCACCCCCACCACACCCTCACCCCCACCACACATCCCCCACCCCCCACCACACACCCCACCCCACCACACACCCACCCCACCACACCCCACCCCAGCACCACACACCCCACCCCACACCCACCCCACCCCACCACACACCCCACCCCACCCCACCCCGCACCACACACCCCACCCCTGCACCACACACACCCCACCCCACACCACCCCCACCACACCCCACCCCACCACACCCCACCCCCACCACACACCCCACCCCACCACACACCCCACCCCACCACACACCCCACCCCCACCACACACCCCACCCCACCACACACCTCACCCCCACCACACATTACTCACCTTACGTCTCACTTTAACACAGATCCAGATTCGTAACAACCCAAAAAGACAATTCACACTTCGACCTGAGGATGTGTGAACGCATAGAACTGCCTCCCTAATACTAAACCCTCTTACCCAATTAACATAGGCCTATAGAGGTGTTTGTGAAGTCAGGTTATGTTAGGTTAGGTCAGGTTAAGGTGAAGAAAGGTCTTGATTTTTTTTCCACCAGTCGAGGCAGACAGATAAAGTTTATACATAGATTCCCATTAAACCTTGCTGCTTGGTCCTGCCATTCACCCGTGTCGTAGGTGATGAATCATAATTAAATGCTGATGAGAAATGGGAAAATAAAACCTGAACGGCTATAGGTGATTATTGTCTGATCTTGTATTTAGTGGATTAATTATGCTAAGTGTTAAGAGTTATATATATGTTAATTAGGTGGTGGGCGAGGCGGGTGGTACGGCATATAGGTGACGTGACTTACACTATAGGGGCGTGTTGACGGCCTTATCTCACGGTCGATGACAAGTGTGTGTTGGGGTGTGTTTGGTGTGTGTGTTGTGTGTGGTATGTGTGGTGTGTGTTTTCAATCGTTTTCCTCACACAGCACTTCAGTTCACACACACACACACACACACACACACACACCCACCCACACACACACACACACCCACCCACACACACACAACACACACACACACACACACACACACACACACACACACACACACACACACACACACACACACACACACACACACCCACACACACACACACACACGGGCTTCCAGGAAGATTTGCAGTGTGTAACGGGAGAGTTAATGTAATTACTTTCCCAGTGGTAGTCGCCTCAGACACCTCCCTGACACAGCCACAACACAGGGAGGTAATAGATACAGGGCGATAATAGATACAGGGAGATAATAGATACAGGGAGATAATAGATACAGGGAGATAATTCATACAGGGAGAATATAGGCGTAGGGAGGTAATTGATGCAGAGGCTGATAATTACAGGTGAAAAATAATGTTATGATTTCGGAATATTACAAAACTTGGTGGATTCCTAACTTAACTTAACCTAACCTATCTTAATCTACCCAAACCTGGGATAGGTTAAGCTATGAATAGGTTGGGTTATGTTCGGTTAAGTTACTAGTCCGAGTTTATTAAAATTCCACCACTGGCACCACTTGACAGTCTTCGTAGTAGTAGTGCCAAGTGAACTACGTGCTGGCGTCCAGGTGTGGCACTCACGACTGTCTGGCACTTAACGTAGGTAGGTAGTATAGGTTAGGTTAGGTTTACTGGTGTTAAGAAGGTGAAGCTTATGAACACACACACACACACACACACACACACAGAACCGAGGACGTATGGAGAGCAATGAAACCCCCACAACACCCCCCCGCCTCGCTCCTCGGTAGAGCTGTGTGATAAGCGTTGGGAGATGCCGGAAACACAATAAAACAGCTCTCCCAGATACCTCAAGGCACCTCACACTGCCAGGCACCTCACACTGCCAGGCACCCACACTGCCAGGCACCTCACACCACCAGGCACCTCACACCGCCAGGCACCTCACACTGCCAGGCACCTCACACCACCAGGCACCTCACACCGCCAGGCACCTCACTCCACCAGGCACCTCACTCCACCAGGCACCCCACACCACCAGGCACCTCACACCACCAGGCACCTCACACCACAGGCACCTCACACCCACCAGGCACCTCACACTGCCAGGCACCTCACACCGCCAGGCACCTGCACTGCCAGGCACCTACCCACCAGGCACTCACTCCACCAGGCACCCCTCCCACCAGGCACCTCACACCACCAGGCACCTCCACACCACCAGGCACCCCACACGCACAGACACCTCACACCACCAGGCACCTCCACACCACCAGGCACCCCACACCGCCAGGCACCTCACGCCCCCCTGCACCACCCACCAGGCACCCCACACCACCAGGCACCTCACACCACCAGGCACCTCACACCGCCAGACACCTCACCCACCAGGCACCTCACACCACCAGGCACCTCACACCACCAGGCACCTCACACCACCAGGCACCTCCACACCTGCCAGACACCTCACTCCACCAGGCAGCACCTCACACCACCAGGCACCTCACACCACCAGGCACCTCACGCCGCCAGGCACCTCACTCCACCAGGCACCTCACACCACCAGGCACCTCACACCACCAGGCACCTCACACCGCCAGACACCTCACTCCACCAGGCACCTCACACCACCAGGCACCTCACACCACCAGGCACCTCACACCGCCAGACACTGCGTCTTGGTCTCCCTGCTGATCCTATCGACTGAGGAAGTGAGAGAGATCCCTACCAGTGAGGCTATTTTTTGTCACAAATGACTAACGAGGAGAAACTCATAAATAACAACAACAATTCAACCCAAAACATCCAGCAGGAAGTTAGTCAGTCAAGAAAGGCGGAGGGTAGGGCTTATACGTAGCAGTCAAGAACAAAACCTGGAATTAATGTGTATCTATTCGTTGTGTTGAGTAGCTAGGGGACTGGGAGAAGGTGAGGGGGTAGGGGGAGGGTAGGAAGGGGGGGGGGGAAGGTAATACTAGGCTGAGGTGCTTGAGGCTTACATAATAATAACCCGGAACGATGAAGGACCACGTGAAGATTAGGCATAGCACCTTGTTCTACCTGATGATTAAACACCCTAACCTAACCTAATCCAACCCATTCTAATCTATCCCTAACCAAAATTAACCTAATCTAACCTACCCCTCTCCAAGTGGTGTTAGGGTGTTTTAATCATTTGATGAAATAAACTGGGGTGTCTAATCTTCACGTGGTGCACGGGGAAGAAGGTGAGCGGGATGGGAGGAGAGCACGTGGATATCCTGGTGCAGGAAGTGAGGCGCAGCCGCTGTGTGGGTCTTCCTCCTAGGCAGTCGTGCGAGAGACAGTCAGACAGACAGATAGACAGACAAAGACAGACAGACTGATTGACAGAAATACGCGGGATGAAGATGGTGTATTGGTAGTAACTGAGTTAATTTATTTATTTACATCTCTTAGGCGTAAATGAATAGTAAAATAGGTGTCAGTTTGTTAATTTACATCTCGTAGGTGTAAAAAAATATAGTGTTATGTTAAGTAGCACAACAACATACTTCCTAATTACATTATATAACCCAAGACAAACTCCTGGTAGCTTTCTCAGTTAGTGTGTAATGGAGTCTGAGGCAGGAGAATAGCACACGGTTACTTAGCTTAATGATATCAGTGTTATCTCACACCTAAAGGACAAGAATATTTGGCTGGTAAGTTTCTGTAATTGACATGTAATTTTTTATTTATTTATTAGAAATTATTTGTATGGTGGTGTATAAACTGTACATTGTCATGGTACAAAATGCGTCGTGGAGAAGTACAAAATGCGTCGTGGAGAAGTACAAAATGCGTCATGGAGAAGTACAAAATGCGTCATGGAGAAGTACAAAATGCGTCATGGAGAAGTGCAAAATGCGTCATGGAGAAGTACAAAATGCGTCATGGAGAAGTACAAAATGCGTCATGGAGAAGTACAAAATGCGTCACAACCCAGAACAAAACGTGTCCTACAATAGTTCAAAATAGATCTTAAAATAATACAACATGTAAAGCACCAGTAAAAATATATCAATATACTGTATAATTATAAAGATATATTGTAATTTATAAATACATTTTAAATCTATGACGGACAATACACTGGGCTATTAATATTATGACTGTAGGTATTTATATAACAGGGCAGAATATGGGAGTCGTATATGAGTCCGGACAAATATATAGGTGACCCAAGGAAAATATATCACTGAGGGAAACTTATATAAGCTGTACTTAATATTATGAAAAATAAACAGAATAATAAACATTTTTCTGTGTCCGTCTGTCTGTCTGCTTCTCTATGTGTCTCTCTCCTAATTTGGATTATACTGTATTTACTAACATAATGCCTATAATTTTATCATGCACAGCTCCTATAAAACATTATGTACAAAACACTAACACAATCGGTTATTGACTCTAAAGATAGCACAGAATGTTTAGTAGTGGACGACTCAACATCCTACACAATTCTAGAGATGTTGAGGAACACTCCGCTGACGACACGCCCTAGTAAACACTGTGGTCATCCAGCACCTCACTGTGTTTCACAAAAGGACTCTTCATACAGCACTTGGGTCATTTCCAATGTCCAGAGAGTTACGGCCAACAGCCAGTTTATAAGAGATTCTCCTAACACAGCCCTTGTCCGGAGGGTTAAGGAGGGAACCTGTAGGAATCTCTCCCTCAGCCTCTACCTTCACACACCTCACATTGTCGAAAGGATCCTCGAAGTGGTCCAGGTTCTCCATCTCTTCCAGCACCACTGGTGAGGGGTATCCTGCCAGGGTTGTCGATCCTGGTGATGGTGGAAAGTCCTCGGACAGTTCAGGTGGTGCCAACGAGTCCCTGGATATTTTTAGTGACGATGCTTGGCCCTCGAGGAGTCCTGTCGATGTCAGTGAGTCTCTGGACATCCCTAATGAGGTTGATGGGACCTCAGACAGTCCAGGTGATGTCAAGGAATCCCTGAACATTCCTAGTGAAGGTGCTTGACCCTCGGGGAGTCCTGTCGATGTCAAAGAGTCCCTGGATATTCTTAGTATTGGTAATTGTTCCCCATAGAGTCCTGGTGATGCCATCGAGTCCCTTGACGATCCTAATGGCGAGGGATCTTTAGAAGGTTTCCCTGGTTGTACGACTTCCTGACACGGTGTCCCAGACGGCGAGTAATGAGAAGTGTCTGTCGGAGAAGAACACTCGGTGTTTTCCTTCACCGAGGATGACCGTTCCATCTGGTTCTCGTCGATCTGGGGCAGCGAAGATGACTGTTTGACAGGATCCTCTTCAGTGTGAGACGTGCGGGGCGTCCAGTCGATCTGAGTGTGGAAAATTTTTGAACCAGAAGGACCACCCGGCTCTATGTAGTCGGTCCTGTCTTCTCTATCTCTCACAGGGGTCACTTGCTTAATGGCTCCATGGCTTACGACGTCACCATCTTCCATCGTCACGTCATCACTTTGGTTACCAGTGATGTAAACTTCCTTCATCTCGAGGATCACAGGACCGCCTGTATCTGTTGTCGCCATGTGTGAGGTGTCATCCGCTCCTGGAAGTATGAAGACGTATTAACATTCATACTCGGTTCCTCCTATCTGTAGTCTATTACTGGTAAGGTTAGAGTAAGCTTGGTTAGGTTAGGGTAAGCTTGGTCAGGTTAAGTTTGGTAATAGGTTCCCCCGGTGGCATCTCGCACCACACTTGTCCAGTCTCCACACCCTTTCACTAAGGCGGCATCATCACAACATTCGTCCAGTCCTGTTCCACCGTGCCATCTGACCCCGTTGTGTGTCAGGTGGGTTAATTAGTTTTTGGGACACCCTGTAGAGCTAGATTAACAAAAAAAGGCAAATTACGAATGAGTGAATAAGAAAAATTACTTGAAAAAAGGCAATGAAAATGTTGCAGAAAAATATTAATTGATGTTAAAAGTTATTACAGTTGAGGGAATCACTAACCTGTTAAGCGAGTCCTCCTCTTCTGTCTCCGTCGACCGTCTGTTCCAGGTCTTTCATCTTCTCCTTCTCTCTTCTCTCTCTTCTTCTTTTTCTTTTTCTTCTCCCTCTTGTGTCTATGTGTATTAATACTGGTGCTTCCCGGGTCCTCTCCTTGATGACCCTGTTCATTAGGGCTTGGTATAATCCCTCTGTGGACTGGATCATCATTACTTTGTACCATCACCTCTCCTCCTCCTCCTCCTCCTCCTCCTCCTCCTCCTCCTCCTCCATCACCTATATCCTTTCTTCTACTTTTCTTTTTGTCTTTCATCTCATCTGGAAATCCCTTCCGGGGTATGACAATAGCCTCAGGATCGTCGTCATCATCGTTCTTGTATCCCTGGTATCGTAAGCGGGTTTTCTCGTACTGTAGCTTGGCGGCGGCCCCCAGTAAGGTACGGATGGCCGGCTGCAGGCTGGGGTCAACGCGTCTCTTGCGCCTCTTGTGTTTCCTGGCGGGGGAGTTGGGGGGCACGGGGCGGAGTGGTTCCTCAGGGGGTGTGAAGGTTAGGGCCAGCTGTAGGAGAGAGAAGGGAGACCCACGTTAGGTTGTGATGCTGGTATCGAATTTACATAGATCCTTAAGGTGAATTTTGTCCCCTAATTAGTGTTAAGTGAAATTATTTGGTTAAGGTAAAGTCTCGTTGTAATTTGGTCTCCTGACTGGCAACTAAGGCATTTTATCTTGTGTAGTTTAGAAGTTGGGTGTGATTTACATATTGTTTTAGTGGTTATTTCGTTACCTTGGCTCAAATTGTCCATTTCTTAAATTTAACAGGTATAATAGAAATACTGTACGTGTCCGGTGTATGCGGATGGTATACCTGAATTATAAGTATACATGCTAAATCAATTGTAAACTTGTATGACCATTTTACCGACTAACAATAAAATAAATTTTGGGCTACTAGATGTATTGTTTTCGTGTCATTTACTTCGTATCATTTGTTTTTATTGGTGTAAGTTGTTAATTCTGTCTCGTTTTTCTTCCAGCTCACTGAAGCAGAAGACTTCCCTCCACACCCACCCACCAGGCCAGGTAAATGCCAACGCGTGCTGTATCAGATGTCAGTAGCAACAGAGGCTAAGAATAAGCCACAGGTGTGTTTGTGTGATAGGTCAGTAGTACTTCCACAACGTGTATATTGAGACGTGTTTGAAAGGAAAATCTCCCTCACGTGGATAAACATTTGTCGTTCAGTCAGTCAGTGATGGCAGGATCAGGGCAGGTTGACTCTCCACTAACACGATATATATAACAAGGATATTTTTTCCTCACCTAATGACAAGCGATGCAAGAGAGAGAGAGAGAGAGAGAGAGAGAGAGAGAGAGAGAGAGAGAGAGAGAGAGGGGGAAGAAAGAACGAGGTAGGGAGAGAGAGAGAAAGGGGGAGAAAGAACGAGGTAGGGAAAGAGAGAGAAAGGGGGAGAAAGAACGTGGTAGGGAGAGAAGAACGAGGTAGGGAGAAAGAGAACAAGGTTGGGAGAGAGAGAACGAGGGAGGGAGAGAGAGAGAGAGAGATTATCGTCAAATAAGGCACTTCCTCACTCGTGGCGTATTAGGGTTAACAGTCACAAGACACTCTTGATCTCTTTCCACTGCATCATTAAGGAATACTCAAACACAGGTTAATAAAACACTCCAGGGAACATACAAAGCTGATAAAACAATTTCACTATCACAGAGGTTAAAACTGGGTTAAGATGTGGAATATTCTGGGAGATATTTAGAGTAGCTACCCATAAATGGTATACCTTTAACTTGCGCGTCAAAGAAAATGGAGATATGTCAACACAAACTATATTAAATTCTGTTTATTCGTATCTGTTACAAATAATGTACTGCCCACACTTATTAATCCGGTCATTGGTAATCCGAACCTTCCCATAATCTGAATTTGTATCTTGTATCCCAAGTTTTTATCGTAAACTGGATTAGATTCGGTTAGGTTTATACAGGTTAGAATTAAGTTAGGTTTATATGGGTTAAAATTCGTTTTTTTTTATGGGGATTAGCCCACCCGGGCACAGGTCACTGACCCACATCGGGGCCTGGGGGGCGAAAATTTAATAATAATAGTAATTCATAGTAAATCAAATTTATAATAAAAAGTAAAATAAAATAATAATAATAATAACACTGTAATAATGATAATAAAGAAAAGAAAAACAATAATCAATAGTGAGAAATGCTATATGTATAGTATGTTGTGTTGTCAATAGTAAGAGAAACAATTGAGACCCTGCAATTGTGTGTAAATGAGGCAGAAAGACAGATCAGCAACTTGGGACTTGGTCACATATGGCAGCAGGGTCTACCATTAGACAACACAATATGCTTCCAATATCTTCCCAGGCGGTAGTACCTCCCTGTTTGATAGCTGCCTGCTACCTACCACCTACTAGGTTAGATATATATAGATTAAAGATAGGTCAGCTTTATATGGGTTAAAATTAAGTCAGGTTTATATGGGTTAAAGATAGTTCAGGTTTATATAGATTAAAGTAAGGTCAGGTTTATATAGGTTGAAGTTAGGTTAGGTTTATATGGGTTAAAATTTGGTTAGGTTTATATAGGTTAAAATTAGATCAGGTTTATATGGGTTAAAATTAGATCAGGTTTATATGGGTTAAAATTAAGTCAAGTTTATAGAGGTTAAATTCACAACAAATAACACGTGTACTGACTCACCCTAGTATACTGAGTCTTGACCACGATGAAGAAATGGATACCCCAGATGAGCTGAAACATGGAGGCGAACCCGCGGATGGTAGGAATGTAAGGCAGCGTGATGACCACCCATATTAGCTGCATCGCCAGGTTCACCACCGCCCACGTCAGCCACGGCAGCAGCAACCATCGGATCTCCTGAGTGACCCACAGGTGTTGGCTTAGTGTGATGCCTTTTTTTTGTTTTTACACGGGACTATATGTATAGGATATTGGTAAACGTACATATATAATAAAGCACACATACTCCTGCATATAGTAACGCAATTATAAAAACACATACATAATAACACACACACAGAGTAACACATACACATAATAACACACACACACACACATAGTAGCACACGCACACATAATAACACACACACGCACATAAAAACACACACACACACATAATAACAAACACACATACACATAGTAACACACACACACACATACTGCAAAGAAGTCCCACTACCCAACCAAATTACAACACCTGAAGCAGACCAACATCAGTCAATGGTATGGTAAGCTTAAAGAACTCTGTGGACTAAACAATAAGACACACCCCCTCCCCTTCCTTAGCCAGTAAATACTACTTCTTGCACTGTCACTATGTTGAAATGCACTGTAGTTTGAGCTTTTCCCCATCTAGTTATTATATATCTTATTTGTATCACTTATGTTACTTGTATATTATTTATAATTCGAAACCCATTCCCCAAATATGTAACTGTATATTTTCAGCCTTCTGGCTGCCAAGCTCTTTCAATAAACCGTTAATTATTATTATTATTATTATTTACACACACACATAACAACACACACACACACACACACACACACTTAAGAGGACTTGACTGGGACAGGGAGTTAAGAGTGACTGTATGAGGCTGGAATAGGTGACAGTTACCACCGAGAGAGGACACGGGTGGAATAGGGAGCCAGTGTAAGGAAGAATAAACATAAGGAAGACTGACAGACCTTTCTGGTCCCGTGTATAAGGAGAATGGAGAAGAAGACCTGGATGGCGTTGATATATCCTCCAATGTAGCTCAGGTCAGCGTCTGTCACCACCACCACAACAACAACAAACAACAACACTTTAATACAATATACATCCAGAATAAATGTATGAACTTGGTTAAACAACTAATAACTATTCAGTTCATTACATAACATCCAGAATAAATGTATGGACGTAATGAATAACACTACCCATGTAAAACAGTTCTCCATCCCACTTGGTTACTCCCCTAATAAAAATATTATTTATATTTGATGTTGTGTGTCTGTGGGTTGAAGTGTCCTTTAACCAATGATAAGTTGAGGTCAGATGTTGATATATTTTTATGCTAGAGGAATTATCACAAAGTTATTGATACGTGATAAGAATGAGTGGTGGTGTGTGTGCGCGCGTGTGTGTGTGTGTGTGTGTGTGTGTGTGTGTGTGTGTGTGTGTGACTTACTGAGATCGTAGTCTAGACAGCGTTCACAGTACTGGTTGGGCAGATAAGCACTGATGAAGTCCACGATGGTCGCAAATCCTCCCCACACCTGTCCATAGACGACCCTTATTACATCTATATCCTGAACTCAGTGAATTTTAAGACACTTTTAATGTTAAGAATTTAAGGAGCACCAGAAGATTAGTCCCCCCAGCTTATTTCACCTTTAAGATTAACCACCCCAAACGTTAACCTAACCTAACCTAACCTAACCTAACCCAACCTAACCGAACCTAACCTAACCCAACCCAACCTTCAGTGCGATTAATCTCCAAGTAATGGAAACGTTATCATACACTTGACTCTTAAAAGATAAAGATGAACAAGGACTAGTGGTGTTGAGTGGTGATAGTGGTGAGTGGTGATAGTGGTGAGTGGTGATAGTGGTGATGGTGGGGAGTGGTGATAGTGGTGATAGTAATATTGGTTATGGTGATAGTGGTGATGGTGCTGGATAGTAGTAGCAATACTGGGTGATGGTGTTGGGTGGTGATGATGGTGTTGGATAGTAGTGGTAGTGGTGCTGGGATAGTGGTTGTAATGGTGCTGGGATAGTGGTAGTGGTGGTTGAGAAGATAACTCACAATGCCGACTCCTCCTATCCAATAGCAGGCAGCCCGAGGTCTCATGCAGAAACAGCAGGATAGAGAAAAACAGGTGTTCTCTCGGCTGAAGCGGCAACCCATCCTAGACCTGTCGACAAACCATTATATTTAGGCTTCCTGTGGTACAAATGGTACATATATATAAATAACTTGTATTATAGGAAATATATATGGATGAATATAGAGTAATGTTTAGGTGGAAATTAGTGAATATAGTCAGTTTCGTTAGAAGGCGGCGGTAGAGAATAATGACGTCATATCCGTTGTACTGTACGTAGAAACGAACGTGTCCAGCTTATAAACAAAACATTGCCACTTGTTTATAAATATTAATTAAAAGTTATCAAACGGCCCGAGAGTAATTTATGGATATATTAATTCATTACAAATATATTAATTAAATCTATTTTTATTTTTATTTATATTTTTTGGTAATTATTATGGGTGTGTTTGCCATTTGTATGATAAGTTGGTCTCCTTGTGGTGTAACTAATACGGCCACTGCCTCTCTGTCTATGGCGGCAACAAATCTCGAGAACTGAAAGAGCTACGTGGGATCACTTACAAATTAGGCACACCAGCTTATTTCACCTGAAGATTAAACACCACAACGTCACCTGGAGGTTAGGTTAGATTGGTAAAGTAGATTACGGTAGCTTATAGGTTAAGGTGGTTAATTTTCAAGTGATCCACTATCTTGAACATGTCTCAACCCTACCCCCCCCCCTCCCCCTCCCTTACTGCTGCCACAGATTCATATTTCAGGTTTGCCCCGCGAGAGGCTAGTTTATTGGGCACCCCTTTGCATTCTGTAGAAGCTGTACAAAGGTGAAATGCCAATGCGTGTACAGCGCCCAACAGGGGAGCATACAGAGTTCATGCTTACCTTCTACTGCTGCCACGTTTTTGAGTTGTTACAGAGTCAGGGGTAAAGGTTACAAATTGGTCAACTCCACCAGACGGCGAGAACTAGTACCTCGCCTAGTACTACGTGTAGTCCTTTCTTAGTTGGGGTCGTCTACCACCCTGGGCCAGGGGTCAGTCCGTTCGTTCAATTTTCCTCGAAACTGGAGACGAACACGTCTAACTGGCTTACTTTAAGGGCAACCCCAGGCCCATCATTTTTTGTTGTTATATTTAATAATACTTACATAAAATGGATGAAACTTGAAAAAAAAAGATGAGCATAGTTAATTAATGTAACTCATTCACACACACCTTGGTCATAACACTTTAGGGAAGGAGTAGATATAGCTCTCGCCACTTCCCAAAGGGTCACTGGTTCATTCCCCGTGCACTTACAGTCAACGCAGCAGTATATGGTTACCTCACTTTACAATTGGGAGAGCGAGTGGGGTGCTGCAATGCTGGACACACTGTTTCCTTGTGTACCGCAGGCTTAATATTCTTGTGCTGTATCTTTGAAAGCTGCTCAGGGTTGTCGTGTAAATAACATGTTGTCGCAGTTGAGTTTTTTTTTGGGCCGTTTTCACTGCTTGGGTTATGTAGCATTGTTCTCAAAGTCTCAATTTCTACAACACAGCTTCCAGGAGTTCACTATCAAACCTGGTAATGGTTCACACAGGAGCCATCAGTGAGTGTCCTTGTGGTGCATGAGTCAGCAGCCGCCTCTGCTCACTACACGTTTCTCCGTTGTTGCACTATTTCTTTTATTTCTGGACTCCCATTGTGAATGTATGTTTGTGCTGTAGCTTGTAGCTGAGCCGTTTGATTAATGTTTTTATTGCGTAATGGTTCATTTTTGATGTGTCGTCAGGCCCAGTTGATGTATGTAAACGTGTCTTCGTCCGGATGTTTTGATGCTGCTGTCATGTACTTCACTGTCACAACTGAAGGTCAAAGGTTACACTTGACAATAAAGCACATAATTTGATGATCGCTGTTCACCAGTCTTGTCTTGCCTCACGACTTGACTGTTAGTGGACTTGTTGTCTTTCACTCGAGGGACTTTGACCAGAGGTAAGATGCATTGTTCTTTATACCGTATAGCCTCACCTCACCCTCATAACCGGTTGACACATATGGTAACGTTCATTCATTCTCAGTCCAGTGTCTTTAAAAGCACTGCCAGCATGAGCAGTCACCTCCGTCTGGCATTCCACAACACCCAACTTGTTTTTGGTATTTACAACAAATGGACGTTCGCTCAACCTGCCTGCGGAAGCGCTCCTGTCATGACCCTTTCGTGTTTATTGTAGGTGTAGCGACGCCTGCTGTTAGTGGCGCGTGCAGGTGAGGGGCCGTGACGCTTCACTTACCTGTTCAAGAGAAGTGGTAAATAACATCCCAGAGAGAGAAACTTGTGGGGAGTTGTGTAGCACGGGCGACACTCCTCGACTGTGTTGCCCCAGCTCACACACTCCATCCTGCTCCAGCCCCAGGGACTTCCCCTGTACAGACGCCAGCGTCAGGGGAGCTTCGCCTCCACCACGCCCCATGCCAGGGGTTACAGTTGCTTGCCACAGTTTGGCAACGATACCCACACACATCCGAAAAGACGCTGACGTCCGGTCGACAATCGCATTAAAATAAATGTCACTTCGTGTGTACATGTCGTAGGAAGCCATTTTAATAGTCTTTGTATTTAATGTGTTCATTCATGACTACGATGACGATCGGACTGTGCAAAAGCAGCCTCTTTAAGTTGTGTCAATGTTGAGAAGGAAGGTGAAGGAGCCACAAGGTGATTGGTTGTTTAGAACATTTCATACAAGGTACAATACAGTACACGATGATGCAGGGAGATGAACACTGTCTCCAACACCCAGATGACCATAGTGATGATAACCATGCAACACCTATTAGTGGTCTTCTCGTTGATGGACTGATTGCACAGATTGGACGAAAACTCATTTAACACATTAGATTTTAATCGTATAGCGATACTCGCCACGATTTTCACAGTATTTTAAAACAAACATCCGCATTCAAATTAAACACTACATCTCATTTCCGTTGTTAGTAAACTAATAGACGGTGAGACACAGGAACTGAGGGAGTGTATATAATTTACCTCACTGTCCACAATGAATCCCAATAAATGTGTAGGAATTTCAAGGGAAAGTGACCATTAAAGCAGCACTGTTTACGGACTTAGTAATTCTCTTACCTGGTTTATTTATGTATACAAGGTGTATGTGTTGACGTAAAGCTGTACTGTACCATTTTTATTACGCTTCCAGACTGAATTATCATTATTATGATTCTTCCAAATCGAGTCATTATTATTAGTAGTAGTAGTAGTATTTTATTATTGTGTGAAATATTTATTTTTTTCTATTAGTAGTTTTGTATTGTTAGTGTTCTGTGGCCACTTCAGATTCAAAATGATTTTAGTAAAAATTAAGTTCGTTTTCCTCACAACAGTAAGAATAGTGGTGAAGCTGTTTAATAAATAGATACATTAATATTTGTGCCAGGAACCTTTTGTTTAACCTCAGATAACTTATTAAAACTTTTCTTAGCTTCATATTCTGAAATTTTCAACCAAGAAATCACTCAAATTATTTTTAATGGCTGATAAGTTTTCAAAGTTGGAATCCTCAAAAACTCTATATTATAAAAAAATTTCATGGATGCAGCCAGTGGTAGGTGAATTATGCAAGTGAAGCACAAGTGTCTTAAACCATTTCGGTATTTTGGACATTTTACTTGTGTTGAAGGATGGAGTTAAATTACATAGCCATTATATAGATTTTATTTGTGTAATATAGTCATGTTTTAAATCCCATATACCAATAACATACCTCACTTAAGACAGCTGATCTAATACTACGTCACACCATTACAGCCACAGCACTATACTACAACCATGATCTTATCAAGGGGTTTGCGCGAGAATTTGGGGACGGTGGCGTCGCTAGCCGGATAGCCGACAGGGAGCAGCAGCAGCAGCTTCTCGTTGTCGGAAAGCTGCAGGAGGGTCTTGAAGGCTGGCCCGCAGTTGAGTGGTGTCGAGGTCAAGGTCACCAGCCCCGCCGTCTGTAGAACCAAGAGAAGGACTCTGTATTATACTGTAAGTTGTTGTAGCTTTATCCACGGAGCCCAAACATGGGAGCGTGACTGAGTTGGGGGCTCCAGAGGTCAACGAAGCCCTAAACTCGGTAAAGCCTCAGCGTTAGAGATAACATGATAAACGTAAACTGTTGTTATATTCATTATTGCTCTTGGATAACCTTACTATTAGGTACTCCAAATTATTTCACAGGATGATTAAACACCCTAACACAACTGGGTGGGAAGATTAGGGTAGGTTAGGTTCTGTTAGCCTTAGGATGCTTGATCAGGTGAACTAAGCTTGGGTACTTAATCATCACGTAGTCCTTACTCTATCCCAATCTACAAGTAGCCCCTCAGAATATATTAGTCTTGGAGTTCAGCAGCTACGAGTGGTAACGCTACGGTTAGACAGTGACTCACGTGTATGGCCGTCAGAAGGATACCACCGGCTATGGCTGTGGAGATCTCGTGGTAGTAGTGATTCCTCTTACGGCCATCAGGTAGCAAACTATACGCCTGCTTGAATACCAGCAAGATCCACGGTGCCTCCGTCAGGTACTCCTTCACCCAGTTCGTTTTTAATCCCTTCAGATCCTTCACCCACTGGCTACCTGGAGGAAGAGGGAGGGGGAGGCGTCATGAACGAAGTAGAAAAATGTGATGTGTTACCAAACGTACTGTAGGGAGGAGAGTTGTATGTTGAATGGAATCGTCGTAATAGACTCCAACCAACTCATTGGGACTAGCACCAACTGTAAGGGTTAGGTTGGGACTCAACTGCACACTGACAAAAAAGAGAAGAGGTTAGAAGAAGTCATGTGCTGTTGAGAGAGAGAGAGAGAGAGAGAGAGAGAGAGAGAGAGAGAGAGAGAGAGAGAATATATATATACACCATGAACCACTCACCCATTCTCTTTGTGTAGTTAATCTCTTCCTCAGACTCAACAATGGATCTCAGCTGTTGCTTCACGTCAGGGTCATGTACTGCCACGAAGGTCCAGGGCTCAGTGTGTGCTCCCGACGGTGCTGTGCCTGTAGGGTGTGATGTTTGGAGTTGTTTACAGTAGGTCATAGGTATCCCTAGTCCTATAATACGCCCTATCCTATTCCTATAATATGCCCTAACCTAGTCCTATAATATGCCGTAACTTAGTCCTATAATATGCCCCAACCAAATGAATACCACTCCAAGTAGACACCATCCTAGCCTACCGATTGAAGACTAATGGTTAGTTAAATTGTGAGGGAGGGTCTAATTAGGACAAGGTCACTGGCATCCTGAAGGGGAGTTGGGTTCCTTCTTCGTTTAATTTCTCTGTTGTTATACTTTGATATTTTCCCTAAACACTGGTCCTCTATATTGTCTTTATTATTATATTTCATCATCTTCATCATCCTACTGTCCCTTACATTATGTCATTATCACCACCTTCATCATCACTTTATACTATACCACTAGGATGCAACTTTGACTGGCCCACCTGTTACCTTACCACACCTCTTCTCTTACTTTGGCTCACCTCTCACTTTACCTTCTTTATTCCTTCTCTTATCTCATTTACTTGTTTTTTTATAATGTTGTTCCATTGTGCTTTTGTTTATTACGTGTTATCTCTTTTCGTATGAAGTTTATCATATTTCTTATTGTTTTTACAGTGTATTGTAGCCTATAGTACGTGTAGTAAGTGGGGAGGAGGACAGGTGTGTGGTGAGGAGGACAGGTGTGTGGTGGGGGAGGACAGGTGTGTGGTGGGGAGGACAGGTGTGTGGTGAGGAGGACAGGTGTGTGGTGGGGGAGGACAGGTGTGTGGTGGGGGAGAACAGGTGTGTGGTGGGGGAGGACAGGTGTGTTGTGGGGGAGGACAGGTGTGTGGGGGAGGACAGGTGTGTGGTGGGGGAGGACAGGTGTGTGGTGGGGAGGACAGGTGTGGGTGGGGAGGACAGGTGTGTGGTGGGGAGGACAGGTGTGGTGGGGAGACAGGTGTGTGGTGGGGGAGGAGGTGTGTGGTGGGGAGGACAGGTGTGTGTGGTGTGTGGGGGGGGACAGGTGTGTGGTGAGGAGGACAGGTGTGTGGTGGGGGAGGACAGGTGTGTGGTGGGGAGGACAGGTGTGTGGTGAGGAGGACAGGTGTGTGGTGGGGGAGGACAGGTGTGTGGTGGGGGAGAACAGGTGTGTGGTGGGGGAGGACAGGTGTGTTGTGGGGGAGGACAGGTGTGAGGAAGAGGGAGGGGGGAATTACCTGCCGCCTTGATAACGTTGTCGATGACCTCACGAGGTACGGGGTCAGAACTGAAGAACCGAATTGAGCGACGTTGGTTCATTAACTGGTAGTACTCCTGTGACTTCTTGATGCTCTCCTCTGGCGACATTCTGCACACGCACACACACACCAAAAGATATTAAAAAACAGCCTTTTCTATAATAATAACAATAGCTATGTCAAGTTTTAAGAAGCCCTAAAAATAATGATCATCATCTTGTGAGCAATTTTCAATTTGTCCGTGTTACCGTCCGTGTTCAGGGGTGTGATGACGGAAGACATGAGTTTAAAACTCCTCTGGCAATACGATGAGCACAGTGACCCGTGAAAGTGGAAGGATTAACATACAAAAGCTTTTGCAACAGGTTCGTGCTTGTACGTTTATTCTCTGGGCTACTTTTAGAAAAAGTTTGGTGAGGTTAATATTCATGTTCTACTGGGAACGTTTGGTTAGGTTATGTTATGTTAATTTTCCTGCAGTTTTGAAGGGAGGTTAGGTTAATTTTCATGTTATTTTGGAAAGGTTAAGATTATCTATCTATATAAAACAAAAAAGTATGTCTGTTTGTGCGTGTGTGTGTGTGTGTTTTTGTTTGTGTGTCTGCACGAGAATCTCGGAAACGACTTTACCGATGTGTAGTGTTGATGAATGGTGTTATATGTACTGATGATGGATGATGTGGTGGTGGTAGAGACTGGTTGATAGTAGTGGTAATGATGGTGGTGGTAATGATAATGGTGATAGTAGTCTCTACCACCACCACTATCACCAGAAACATGCCGCTATCACCATCACCACCACTGTCACTACCACCGTCACCACCACCACTACATATAACACCATCAATCATCACTACATATAATACCATCCATCATCACTACATATAACACCACCCATCATCACTACATATAACACCACCATCAATCATCACTACATATAACACCATCCATCATCACTACATATAACACCACCATCATCACTACATATAACACCACCCATCATCACTACATATAACACCATCCATCATCACTACATATAACACCATCCATCATCACTACATATAACATCATCCATCATCACTACATATAACACCACCCATCATCACTACATATAACACCATCCATCATCACTATATAACACCATCCATCATCACTACATATAACACCAACCATCATCACTATATATAACACCACCCATCATCACTACATATAACACCATCCATCATCACTACATATACACACCATCCATCATCACTACATATAACACCACCCATCATCACTACATATAACACCATCCATCATCTACATATAACCCCATCCATCATCACTACATATAACACCATCCATCATCACTACATATAACACCATCCATCATCACTACATATAACACATCCATCATCACTACATATAACACATCCATCATCACTACATATAACACCATCCATCATCACCACATATAACACCATCCATCATCACTACATATAACACCACCCATCATCACTACATATAACACCACCCATCATCACTACATATAACACCATCCATCATCACTACATATAACACCACCCATCATCACTATATATAACACCACCCATCATCACTATATATAACACCATCCATCATCACTACATATAACACCACCCATCATCACTACATATAACACCACCCATCATCACTACATATAACACCATCCATCATCACATCATACCCATCATCACTATATATAACACCACCCATCATCACTACATATAACACCATCCATCATCACTACATATAACACCACCCATCATCACTACATATAACACCACCCATCATCACTACATATAACACCATCCATCATCACTACATATAACACCACCCATCATCACTATATATAACACCACCCATCATCACTACATATAACACCATCCATCATCACTACATATAACACCATCCATCATCACTACATATAACACCATTCATCATCACTACATATAACACCATCCATCATCACTACATATAACACCATCCATCATCATCACTACATATAACACCATACATCATCACTACATATAACACCATCCATCATCACTACATATAACACCATTCATCATCACTACAGATCGGTAAAGTAGTTTCTGAGATTCTCACGCGGGTACACAAACAAATAAACAAATAAACAAACAAACAGACAGACAGACTTCTTTGTTTTATATATATATAGACGTGGCGGGGGATTGAATCTTGTCAAACATTTAGATTATGTGTACAGTTAGGTGAAAACCCCGTGTGTGTGTGTGTGTGTGTGTGTGTGGGCTGGGACACTTACCTGGTGTGTTTGTAAGGGATGTGTTCGAGGTCCTCTGGCCACAGGGGATCCACCACGTTGGGATCGTTGAGTTCATCGTCATCAGCGTCACCGACACCTCCAGATTCTGTTAACATGGAGACGAGTTATTCCTGAATGCTCCTCTGTGTGTGTGTGTGACAAGACAAGACGACACAACAACACTCACCTATAACATTGCGCCTTCCCGACTTTGGTTGGCTAGCTGCAGGGGTGGTGCGGGTGGAAGGACTCTTGCCTTGATCTGGGGTGAATTGGTTCAAGGTGGACCAATAAAGGACAAACTTCACCACCACCACCGCCAGACACGCTACACCCACCGTCAACCAGTTCTCCATCAGGAAGGGGACCACATAATTCGTCAGCAGACCCATGTTCTCCTGAGGACTAATACCATGATTATTCTTCACGTTTTTCTTTATGTTATGAGATACTGTGTACTGAGTTATCATAGTTATCTCTTGAGTACGGGTGATAATGAAATGTCACTAGGTCCAGCAATCACAATGGGAAGTCCAAACAAATATGCTGTTCATGTCTGTATTGAGGTTAGCTGTAAAATCAGTAAAAATACAGTAACTTTATGTCCTGTATGGTGTTTAGTCTTAGCGAGTTGGTTTGTTACTGTCATGGAGATGGTTTATAGTATTAAGTATCTGAACAGAATTTTAAATTGCTAACTGCGGATAGAATACCCTGAACATAAGTGGTGACTCCTGACATCTATATATGGGTCGTGTTGATAAGTGGGAATACTGATTTCAACGTCAGTTTACTAAAAAAAAAAAAGAAGAAAAAAGTCCTTGAATTACATAAAATTGTTTCATGTTGTTAATGTGACACAACGGGAAGCAGAGACTGTACTTCAAGAGGCGTGTTTTAACGGAGGCTGAAAACTATAGTAATTTTTACCTTAACGTTTAGCAGTAGATCAAGGTGTGTGTACATATACAACCTGAGACATTATCTTCATTTTATGATTAACTGCGCACTAACTTATTTTATTTGTTTTAGAATATAAAATTTCAATACCAGTACAGTTCTCGTTTCTTAACCTATGAGCAGAAATTTGCCTTCGACTTATTTAAACTGGTTATTTACACCTGTCTGTACTACAGCAGTTCTAACAGGCTACAGTTACATCAGAGCGCTACAGATTGCCAAAACTTAAGGCCGGGCAGCGTCTAAGGCTTGCGTAACCTAATCGTACTGCACCTTGCCTTGGCTTCCCATTTGGTGGACTCACGTGAAGATTAGTGCCCCAAGTTATTTCACATGATTAAACAGCCTAACGCTACGTAGTGTGGGTTTTCACTTAGGGTAGGCAAGGTTAAGTAAGGTTACGTTAGGTTAGTTTATGTAAGGTTACATTAGTTTTGAGGTGATTTGTGAAAGAACAACAATGACAACAACAGTAGCAACAGGATATTCTCAACAGGGGGAGGGGAAGGGGGGGGTGTGGCCTGGTTCTTATTTGTAAATATCACAACGGAAGTAACACATTTACTGTAAACTAACTTAGGTTTAATGATATTAATATATTGTAATCGCTCCATTGTTGGTCTTGTCACAACACTGGTAAATTAAAAAAAAAGAATTATAACTCACTAAAAAAAATGAACTTGACATTTCTAACCTGAAGCTGTGACCTCTACTACCACTACCATTATTAATAGTAATAAGAAATCAAGTTCATTTAAGAAAATGTAAAAAGGGCGCATTGATTCCATAAATCAAATTTATTATATAAACTTCCATGTAAACACGAACATTAATGAGGAAAATCGTATATATATATATATATATATATATATATATATATATATATATATATATATATATATATATATATATATATATATATATATATATATATATATATATATATGACAGTAGCACACGCAAACACACAATATTAATCAGCTAGATAGTACCAGCAGTATTAAATTAAGTTATGTATCCTAAAACTTGGCAACACACCGTCCTGCTCGGTGATCGTATTGCTAATCTAATTAATTACAACCCTGTAAATATCACTCCAAGTCATAGTTACATAAGTCATGTTCCCGAATTGGTAACCCAAACTGTTGAGAATATACGTGTTATATTACCGCGAGAAATTTTATTTTGTTATTTACAGTACATTCGTGACAGTACACATAGGAATATGTCTTACCTGCGAGATGATAGGAAGCTTTACAGATCTCCGTGAGAAGTTGTGACAGAACTGTAATAGGGATTGAGTGGACGCCGTGTACAAAACTCTAGCATGACCTCTTGGCCGTCTGCTTACTGACTAGTGACTTCCTACTACTGCTACCAGCTAGTCTACCCAACCCACCAGTGTTGCCAAGTGTGGTTGGTGAAGTCGGCTAGATTAACCTATAGAATCCGTTAGAAATCCGCTAAACACAATATTACGCACGTATCCTAAACAATATCAAATATTAAGTACTGGGAAGATATTGAAAGCATAATGTGTTGTCTAATGGTAGACCCTGCTGCTTTATGGCAGCGTGGGGTACGTGATATTTGTTCGCGCTCAGGGTGGGATGGAGAAAGTAAACTAAATTAAAGAATATCACTATCAGAAAAGAGGATGTTCTTAAGAAGATAAATAAACTAAAGAAAACAAAATCCACAGGGCCGGATGAAATTTTCCCTCGAGTCTTGAAAGAGTGTAGGGTAACAGATTAGCGGACCCCTCGTAAACTTATTTACAAAATCATTAGACACTGGAGTTGTGCCAGACTTGTGGAAACAGGCAAATGTAGTACCCATATTCAAAAAGGGAGACAGAGCATCAGCGTCAAATTACCGGCCGATCAGTTTGACGTCAGTAGTGGGGAAATTTCTTGAATCAATTATAGCAGATAGCATCCGATCGCATCCAGGTATATAGGACAAAGGTCAAGGACAAAGTTGGGCCTTTGAAGTCATGGAGGGGGGGAAGTGATCTATGCCAGTGAGGAAATAAGCAAAGCATTGAACAGCTACTTTTTATCAGTTTTCACAGAAGAAATTCACAAGGAAATTCCAGAGGTGGAACTGATATTTAGGGGAAATAAAGAAAAGAAATTAAAGAATATCACTATCAGAGAAGAGGATGTTCTTGAGAAGATAAATAAATTAAAGAAGACAAAATCCCCAGGGCCGGATGAAATATTCCCTCGAGGTTTGAAAGAGTGTAAGGAACAGATTAGCGGACCCCTCGTAAATTTATTTACAAAATCATTAGCCACGGGAGTTGTGCCAGACTTGTGGAAACAGGCAAATGTAGTACCCATATTCAAATAGGGAGACAGAGCATCAGCGTCAAATTACCTTCCGATTAGTTTGACGTCAGTAGTGGGGAAATTTCTTGAATCAATTATAGCAAATAGTATTTGATTGCATTTAGAGAAAAGCAAATTAATCTACGACTCTCAACATGGGTTTACAAAGGGAAAATCTTGTCTAACTAATCTGCTGACGTTTTTTTAGGAAAGTCTTCGAAGTAGTAGATAATGACGAAAATTACCATGTTACTTACTTAGACTTTAGCAAAGCGTTTGACAGAGTACCGCATCAGAGGCTTCTGGGAAAAGTTAAGGCTCATGGTATCGAGGGGAAAGTTTTAAATTGGATAAAATCATGGCTCACCGATAGAACACAGAGGGTCAGCGTAGATGGTGTTATATTTGAGTGGGGCTGTGTAACCAGTGGGGTTCCCCAGGGTCAGTACTGGGCCCACTTTTGTTCATAATCTACATAAACGATCTAGATACTGGGATCAGCAGTGACATAAGCAAGTTTGCGGATGACACCAAAATAGGGCGGCAGATTAATTCAGGGCAGGATGCAAATGCACTACAGGAGGATTTAAATAAACTGAAGGAGTGGTCAGAGAAATGTCAAATGAAATTCAACACCAGCAAGTGCAGCCTACTTAATATTGGAAGAACAAATACTGACAATGTATACAGCCTTAACAACATCAACCTAGAGAGGTCGACTTGTGAAAGAGACTTAGGGGTACTTGTAAGCCCGGACCTACGGCCTAGAAAACAGTGCGTTAATGTTCGAAATAAGACAAACACAGTATTAGGTTTTATATCTAGAAGTGCAAGTAAAAAGAGTGCAGAGGTCTTATTGTAACTATATCTTGCGTTAGTCAGGCCGCACCTCGATTATGCGGTTCAGTTCTGGTGCCCTTATTATAGAATGGATATCAATTCACTGGAGTCGGTGCAGTGAAGAATGACGAAAATGATTCCGGGACTTAGAAACCTCCCATATCAAGATAGGTTAAAGAAACTAAACTTGCATTCCCTAGAAAGACGAAGAGTGAGGGCAGATATGATAGAAGTATTTAAGTGGGTGAAAGGAATCAATAGAGGTGATATAGATAAAATTCTTATAATATCCGAGGAGGATAACTCGTAGCAACGGATTTAAGTTGGATAAGTTTCGGTTTAGGATGGAGATAGGAAGGAACTGGTTCACAAATAGGGTGGTGGACGAATGGAACAAGCTTAGCAACTTTGTAGTAAGTGCTGGAACGCTGGAAAGTTTTAAAAGGAGGTTAGATAGATTCATGGATGATAGAGAGTGGTAGTAACTCTCGACAGGAGCTGCCATGCACAGGCCAACTGGCCTATTGCAGACTCCTTATTTTCTTATGTTATGTTCTTATGTTAATTATCCACCCTTCAGTTAGGATTGTCACACTGCACTAAAACATTCTCCAGCCTGTGCCAAAATGGTGAGGAAATGAAGATGGGGAATGCGATGACTTCTGTAAACAAACCTACTCCCAGAAATAAGCACAAATGTTTCGTGAGCTTCTACGATGACTGGAAAGAAACGCACAAACATTAACATACTGTACATTATACATTTACTTTGGGTTAGGTTTTGTAGAGGAGGATGGGGGGGTAATTTATTGTCGTAATGTTAATGTTTGTGCGTTTTTTCTTGTTCGAGTTCCCAATGATTTGAGAGATGACGTAAATTGTACAGTATAAAGAGAATTTACTGACGCGACAAAATGTTTCGGTGAGGTGGATGGCAGGTCCCTCACACATGCCCTTGGTACATGAGCCATTTTTCACACACAACAGGTTACAGAAGACTATAATTTACACAATGTTTTGTAGTAAGGCACCAGTATACACCCCAAAGACACGAAAATATACAAGTTTAAAGGTTAAATAAACAGTAGCAAGACATGTGGATGATATTTTGTCAGCCCCAAGAAACATTATGCTTATACCTGCTAGGTAAGAATACGAGGCCTTCATAATTTGTTTTCAATTTGTAAGTTCTTTGCAAATTAAATTTTCATCATTATTTAATATTTGTAATTGGAAGACACTCTACTCTTACTTATAAGATGCACCGCCGTCCCTGGGAGGGCCCATGGGGGCGCCACCGTCTCTAGGAGGGCCCCTGGGGGAGCCGCCGTCAAAGGGAGGGCCCATGGGGGCGCTGCCGTCCCTGGGAGAATATCTGGGGCGCCGCCGTCCCTGGAAGGGCCCCTGGGGGTGCTGCATTCCCTGGGAAAACCCCGGGGGCGCCGCCGTACCTGGGAAAAAGACTGGGGGCGTCGCCGTACCTAGGACGGCGTCTGGGTGGCCGCCGTACCTAGGACGGCGTCTGGGTGGCCGCCGTCCCTAGAAGGGCCCCTGTGGGCGCCGTCACCCCTGGGAGAGCCCCTGGGTATACCACCAC